AGTCTGGCAAGCCAAGAATTATTGTTCCACTCGCCGGTTGATCGAATTTCGCGGCCTCGTCCGGCCGTTTAATGAGAGGGACCCCCGCCGCCGTATTGACAATAAATCAATGGCCGGCGCGGTAATTACAGCGCATTAACGCGAAAATTGCTCTCCGAAGCGCACGATTACCCCGTTCACGGCCGCGCTTTTTGATCTTGCGTTTTGATCGCCAAGAAAAACCACGCGCGCTTCGATTTCAATTAGAGCCGCGACACTAATTGAGACTTTACGAGTGTGACAAGTCGAGGTGCAAATGGTCCAATCGTAAATGGACATTCCTCTGCGCTTTGTACGGTTGCTTAACGCTTGGATGATAATTCTGCTGATGGCTAACAACGAATAACGTCTCGTTGCAACTTAAGTTATTGCTCAAAAAATTAATTAATATGCAGACATAAATGTATACGGGAGATATGAGCAATTTCGAAAGGAAGGAAAGTTTTTTTTTAATTTTTATTTTAAATTTGTTGAATTTGTGGAAAATTTGAATGTTTGAAAAAATATATATTGCCAAATTAAATTAAGAAGTTAGTATAAAATTGAATAGTATTTAAATAAAATAAATAAGCAACATTACATTTAAAATGCATAATATTTTCAGTTAACAATAATTTTTTTTTTAAAATGAATTTTAAATTTTAAATATTAATTTATATTTTAGAATAAAATGAAGTTAACAATTTATAAAATATACTAAAAATTGTCTAGATAATTAAATTTTCTTTTATATTTCAGTGACGAAAGTTTTTGAAATTTAAAGCTCTCTTGCTGAAAGAAGGCTAAATTATTGACATAAATTGTCCTTAAAAGTATTGGAACAAAGTCTTAAGAAGGCACTGTAATTGAAAATTATAATTTAAAGAACAAAGAATTGTGTACATTAGTTAAAAAATTACATCAAATTATAAAAATAAAATTAAGTCTCTAATTTTTGCATTGAATGACACGATGTGAAATTATTCTTGGTCAGAATACAAAAATCACTGAACGTTTCAATGAAAATTTAACAATTTATTAAAAAAAGGAAATAAATTATTTCTGAAACATTTAAACGTCGACTTTTACCTCTGCTCCTTTGTAGCACTGCACAATCAAGTGACTTAATTTTCTAATTGTAATGAGCCGTCGACAAATAAAAGTCACAGAAGAGGGGCTTGTTCTTGTTCCGTGGCAATGAGCCGCCGCGGTCGTCTCTCTTTTAGTGAGTTGTTTTGCGTCTGGGGCCGATTCGGTCCGGTGGTGCAATGTCATCGCAAGCATCAACTCATTTCGGCCGTTTTTACGCTACACGTCTCATTTCAATCAGCTACTCGCCTGTAGGCCTCTCTTTATTGAGCTATGAAGCCGCCTGCGCTTTTTGTTGCCGCAACCAAAACCACGCGATCTTTCTCGGAAGCCACAACAATGGGACCGATCGTGTCCTGCCTCTCAATAGTCTCTCTCAATCCATACCTTTCGTAATTGCCGCTCCCCGGCCTGCCTAGATTGGAGCCCCGTCGGCGGAAAATATCATTGCTGATAATTGCGCGAGCAGGAAAAGGCGAATTACGAGACTCGCACGCCGCGCGAATTGAGAAATCAAATCACACCCACCGAAAATAAAAGTTTCTTTTATAAACTTCGGAGAGTGACAGCTTGGAAAATCGCTGATCACGAAACCTTGGAGTTTCAATCTTCTTGGAAATTCTCAGCCGATTTTTTCTTCATACTTTTTAGTAAATGGTACAGGAATGTGCTGCTGTGTTATTAATTGTTGGTCTCTTTTTACAAAAGAAATTTGTCTTTTGCTGGTTAATGGAGCGCGAGGGAGGTTCCGCCACGGTGACCAAGGGCGCCGAATCAAGGCCAACATGCCAGATTGGCAAGCAGTAGATAAAATATCGGTCCATTTTTCAATGATATCATATTCTTGAAAATTTTAAGAGGAAGAAATATTATTAATTAAAGCCCTTGTTGAGAATATTTTTAATCAAATATGATTTTAAAGCCACATTTAAATAATTAAAAATCATCAATAAGAAAACAATCAAATTTCTATAAAGTATCAGCTTAAGAATTAATTTACTGTTTATCCCATGATTTTTTTTTAGCCTTTCCTGTAATTAAAGAAAAAAAATATTATTAAATATGTACAAAAGTGCGAATCGACAAATCAGCGCGCACGCGATTCGCAGGCCGCAATATTTCGCCCCGCAGGGCATGCACATCATAAACAAAATAATAATAATTATTCCTATTCATCAGGTCTAGCTGTGGGTTGGGTTAATTAGCAGCGAAAGAGTTACACAGAGCTGCCGTATGCGGCAATTAAGCGGCGAGACAAGTTCCCAGGAATTCGTTTTGCGTCCCGAAGTTGGCCCGGCGCGCAATTTCGGCACCACCACAATAATTGAGCTCCGTTTTTCGTGCCGCGCGGCGGGTAAATTAATTTATTATTCACGCAGCTCGTTTGAGCGTGGCTCACCCCGGTGCTCTCGTGATTGCACCCAGCCATAAAAGCAGCATCTTTATTGACGGCCAAAATAATAATAATAATAATAATAGCATCCAGCAAGCCGAGCCAGTCTTGCCTGTGGTGCCGCCGGCGCAAAAAATCATCATCTCTCTTTCTCTGGCAGAGCCGCTTTTCAAGTCGCCGCGCCTCGCAAATAGAGAGAAGAACGCTGCGAAGAGAGTGAACCCTCGAAAGCTCCACAACAGGCGGAGGAGGATGTGGAAGAGAGGCGCAAAAATCGAAAATAATTTCTACTTTTACTAATTTCTTCAATTATGAATTAAAACTTTTTAAGTTATACTAATTTTTAAATATCAACATATTTTGATTAAAAACAAAAACTACACCCAACAAAGCTTAGAGCTGTCACCGCTCTAGTGTAACGTTATGGGAAATTTCTTAGAGCGGTGGCCGCTCTAGTGTAACGTTATGGGCTTTTTCTTAGAGCGGTGGCTGCTCTAAGCTTAGAGCGGTAGCAGCTCTAGTGTAGAGAGTTCACTGCTCCAGTTCGCGCGGCTACAGGCCTGGAGATCGTTGGGTGTAACAAAGAATAATCTTTAAATAAACCAATTTTTAAATAATTTGAGATTTTTGCTTATAGTTTTATTAAAATAATATTTTTAATAAAATTATTTAAGATCCATCATTTTGTTAGATTAATCAATCTTTATAGGTCCTGGCTAAATAATACATGCCAATAAAAAATACATAAAAAATGAATTAATTTAGTACAAGCATAAGAATGTACTTCAATCAACTGAGAAATCAAAATTACTGTTTGTTGTGCCTCTATATTATGAAGTAGAATACCATTTAAATTAATGTGCTATTAAAGTATCAGATTCGCGGAAAAAGATTTATTAAAAATTAAATCAGAATAACAATTTATATATTGATTAAATTCTATCAAAATTCCTAATTATTGTGTCGAATTTGCGCCTCTCCGTCGCCGAGAGGGGCAAGATTGGTTTTGCGCGAGAACACGTTTGCTCTGGCCAGTCAGTCGGGGCACATAAATAAATAAATTCACATACCTGGTACGTGTGTCGGTGCGCGGTTGGCTTTTTATTGAGAATAAATATCATGCTCTGGCCGCAATAATAATGAGAAATTGATACGACACGATAATTATTGTAGCCGGTCGGGCGGGCAATTTAGCCGAGCGGGCGGTACGCCACGGCGGGAGCAGGTTTGTTTTTGCCGCCGCGCGTTTAATTGATGTTAATGACATCTTTACAGCTCACTCGTCTAATATTGAGTCATTTCTGCAACGCGATTTGAACCTGGCAATAATTATATACCTACCTGCTTTAATTATAATTTCATCAAATTCAAACAACATCTGTTATTGACCGCAATTAAATTAATCGGTGGAAATTATTCACTCTCGACGATTAAATTTTTTTTGGTAAAAACCAGTTTCGATCTTTTTTTATACTTCTCGGTGATTATTATTGTCCGGGACGAAAATTCCGTATGTACTTCTCAGTGACATCAGCTCATTAAAATCGGCCCTGCATCATTTGTCAACTCTCGCAAGACTGGGCGTGAATCGAACCGAGCTCGTTTATTTTCTCGACAGCACTCGTCGTCGGAGATTTTCTCGCCCCATTTCCACTTCCTCCGAAGCGCGGAGAAAAAACGCTTCCTATCCGTCTTCGAGGGGCCGTTTCGAAAAACGCCGCAGATTCAAGGTTCTTCTTCTCTTGGATATGCGCGAAGAAGGTGTGCCAAAAAGATATCATCGCCGAGAGACGATTTTCGCTTTCGCGTCACGTAAATCGCTTTTGAACATTTGTATATCAATGTGCGTTTTTCTCCGAGCGAGCGAGAGACGTCAGGCCAGGGGACGTTTGAAATGAAAAATTGCTGCTGGACGCGATTATTCTGAAGAGTGCGGTGTCTCTCAGGAATCTGCTTACGATTCATGTACCTTGTCGGTTCAAATTATTAGCACTCAAATATGTACTCTCAATTTCAATAGTTTGAATTTTGAATAATCACATACATAAAATAAATGCTTCCAAATCAATAATTAAAATTCCAACTGAATATTTCTTGATGTTTTATAAATAAAATTAATACTGAATACATCAAAGAAACTAATTACTGCAAATAAATTCCAAAACTTTATAATTATCAATTGTTTTGGAAAAAAAAATAAATATCCTGATTCTTTGGCACCTTATTTTATAATGAGGATTTCAGTGAAAATCTTATTATTATTGTTGTTTATTTGATCTATTTCTGCAAACTCAAATACTATTGAAACAAATTCATAATAAATTCATGAATGAATTTTAAATATTTCTATTGAAACCATTATGAAATTTAAAATGAAAAATAATTGTATGATCACAAAAATTTAAAACAGATTGTTAAGGGGAAAACGAAAGTTATCCAAAATTTAAAAAATGATTAATTGCGAATATCTAATTTAATTTGTTTTGAATTTTGTCCTCAGGCTGCCACCAGGAAGCAGTGCCGGCAGTTTGCCCGAGCTGACGTTTCTGCAGGCGTCCAGGCGGGCGGCCGCCGCCGTGCACCCCCACGTGCCAGGCTCGCAGCCCGGCGGCGGGGCCGCCCCCGGCTTGCCTCCAACCGGAGGCGGCGCCGACTTTCACCCCGCTTACCGCCTCAACCCCTACATGGAGCACCTGTATGGATCGCTACACGCGGCCGCTGCAGCCGCGGCTGCCGGTTCTCCAGGCAGCCCTTCCGCCTCCCTGCGCGGACTCAGCCCCCTTGACTCCAGAGGTCAGTACTTTTTTTTATTTTATTAAATAGACAGATACGAAAATGAAAAAAAAATTTAAAACTGTTTCTGTTCATCTCAATCAATCTTAATTATTTTATTAATTTGTTTTATCATTTATTGTAATCCAAAAATTCTTTCACAATTCCACCTGTTGAATTTTTTTTAATGAATTGGTTGCGAGTGAATTTAGATACATTTTTGGCTTAACGGTTGATTTATACTTTTTACGGTATTTTCTTTTTATAATCTTTAGTTTTCTTTTTTGCTTTTACTGTCCATCTATAGTACGTTTTTTTACGTTTTAAACTGGTCATCATCATCAATCACAAGCTGATCACTCGCTTTCCTTTCTTCCATTTTATTTTTGTTTTACGTTGGACAGACAAATAAATTACAACCAAATCGGCTCGGGCCGGAACAGCAAAGGCCAGCCAAAGTGCGGCGGTCCAGATAAATATTCAAATGAGCCGATAAAACAGACGAACACAACTCGAGGAGCGAACTATATAATTTCATTCCACACGGCGGTGTGTGTGCACTTGAGATGCACGCATGATCCGAGCCGAGAGAGCGTCGCTTTTCTCAAAGTTATCTCGCCACTTCAGCGTCTTGTAGCCGGGCAAATTTATAACCGACTGACTCACACTCGGGCTCTGGAATTCATCTCGCGGCGCTGCTCGTGCACTCGTTTCTTTATTTGTTTGTTAGTTTGGTTTTTTTATCCGTGTGGCATTCCAAGTGAGAGAGAGAAAAAGAGAGAGACGCTCGAGATTGACGCGACGTACCTGCCCGAGTGGAAAATCGGACGCTGAGCGTGTTAAAGCCAGTTTCAGATGTTTTATTTAAAAAAAGAGGCCCATCAAAAGCGGAGATTGGTCGCGGATGGTCAAAATAACTTACCTTTAATTGATAGCCTTGAATTTTGTTGATTAAAAGTTTCAAAGATATTCTATCGATGAAATTCAAATGTTTCAAAACAATTGTTTTTCTATTGCTAAATTATTGGAACTGTTAATTATTTTATACAAATAAAAATACTGAGAAACCGGTTTTATGAACGCTTGATATCCTTTGAGCCCAGCTACAGTTAATTTTACCCAAAAAATATACACTGATTTAAATCATTTAAAAATTATTTATTTAAAGTATTAATTTAAAAATAAATTAGGAGTCTTTGATAAGATGTTTATTTGATTCTTGAGCATTAAATTTTTTCAAGTCATTAATTTGTGTGTCAAAAATTGAAGCACTAGTAAACTTTAAATTTCTGCTCACTGAAAACTTAAGGCCAACGAGATGTTATAAAATGTCTCTTAGCAACGCAAGTTACCTTGCCTTCGTCTCTTGGAGACAAAAGCTAGTGGCAAAAATGGTAATCAATTGTCAACCGTCGTGACTGATTTGATTTTTAATCGATAGTGCTCAACTCTTAAGTCAAAAGCTCGCCGACTAATTTCCCGTTCACCACGTGCGTCCGTCTGCAGGTGAAAGTGTTGTCTAGACCGGCGGCTAATTGGCGTATACGTATATTTGATAGTTAGTTAGCACCTGGATTGATTTGGGCTCTCCGCCGGCGGAGTCCGCGCGTCTTGGCTCGCTGTGCTAATCATCAGCATGGCAGGCGCGGAAATTAGCCGCGGCCGCGAATACGAATGAGCCAGCGCGATTATTGTTTGCCTGTCAGGCGTTTCCGGCCATCAACCGTGCGTCTACCGCAACTGCATTCCAATTAGACACCTGCGACTCGGTTAATTTGATTTCTCGCGGTGCGACTCCCACCTTGCGCGAAAGACAGGTAGCTGCTCCGAAGGCGAGGTGTGCACATTGACGCTCAATAAAGGATAAAGGCTAATTGCGCAAAATTGAGCCTTGATCGCACACCTTGATTGATTGCCAATTTTTACTATTGCTTAAATTACCTTTATAGTAGCTATTATTTCTATGTAATAATAAATAGTAATAATTAAAAATTTGAAATTTTCAAATAATTTACCGAAATTAATTTAATATTAAAGCTATATTTGAATTAATAGTTTAATTTAATTTTATTTCTTTTGATTTAAAATTTTTTTAAGTTTCTTTTTTCGTTTTTTTTTTATACTTTACAGGCTTACATTTTTGTAATTTTTATTTATAATATATTAAATATTCAATTCGTCATGGAGTGCAGTTATTGGCTGAATTTTACAATTCCTTTAGTGTCTTGGTTTGTTATGTAAAGAATAGATATTTATATTATTAATTTACATTTTATTGCAAGATGAGATTGATAATATGTATTGCAGATTGATTGAAATAACAAAATTCAAAATTTCATAATTTGAAAATTAAAAATTCATCCCACGACACTACCTTTAAATCTTCCATTTCTAGATGGAAAATTTAATCTAGTTTCAGTTTTCCAGAAATATATGAAAATTGTTCAATGATGATACAGATAAAATCTACTTTGCTGTTGGATCCAATGATGCAATGTAAAAAAATGTGATCATCTGCAATGGAGATCCCAACGCCTGAATTTTCTCTCGTATAGGCAACCGGAACGACACGCTCGTCACGCGGGTCGCCTACTACACCAGGTGTTGGCGGGCAGCAAATATTGACTTGGGCCAAATATTTGTGCCGCCACTGAGCGTCAAGTCTTTATTTTATTTTACGACGAAAGCAAGCAAGCGGTCCGAGTCGGCGCGAGCGGCGCACACGGTCTGCTCATATTTTTTATTAAATAAAGTGTGGAGCGGAGCAGCTATTTTTGTGAGAGGTCGAATGATGGATTCGGGGAGGAAGCGGTCGCTTTTTGAAGAAGCGGCTGCTTTTATTTTCGACTCGCACACGGCGCAGACACGCATATTCTACTCCGTCGCGAGAGCTGCAGAGGTGTAAAAACTATCTAATCTGGGGGATAATCCATCTGGAAACACACGCGCGCCTCACTTATACTTTTGCTTACAGCTTTTAAATTATTACATTTCCCTTGGGGATGACAATCTCAACGCTTTTTTAAGGAAAATTAAAACTTTTGATCTAGATAGCTTTTTAGAAATGTTTGAAACTGATAAAATAAATTAAATTTGAAAATGAAACATTATTAATTTTTTTCCAAAAATATAAACAAAAATTGTTAAAGAAGATTTATGATTAAAATTGTTTCTAAATTTGTCGGTTTAAAAAAGCCAAAGGTATCTGAAATTTAAATTTCCTTTGAACTGCTATAACAGAACCGAATTAAATCTAACGTTTCCACTTTTGAGGAGACGTCGGCTGCACTCTCCTGTCTGTAATTGATGGCCACATTGTCTCATTCAGCGTGTGAGGTGCGGATTTTTGAAACACGACATGACAGCGTTCTTGTTATTCTAGAGTAAACACAATTTAACTCAGTCGGCGCCTTGCAAGTGAGAGAGCGACAAGGATTATTTTTATAAATCCGAGGGGAGCGCTCAGGACGGACTGCTGCTGTAAACTTTTTCACCAGAAAGACACACTCATCCCGGTCTGGCGCAGGGAGGAAGACTTTGCTTTTTTATCTTTTATTTCCTCTTGGCTCTGACAAGGGCTGGGATTTCAAACAAACGAGCTGCCTGTGATGGATAAAGTAATGACTTGTCATAATAAACACGGCCACCTCATCAAATAACTCTCGGCGCTCATAATCGCGGCTGCCAACTGCCAGGGCGCTAAATATCTACACAAATACATTTTTATTCGTCGCCCCGTCCCCGCCCGCGTGCGCCGCAGAGATTTATTTATTTTCTTATTTTTACTCTCGCTCACTCGCAGCTTAACGGTTTAGGCTCCGTTTGATTCCGTAATGAGAGCGCATTTGGCCATTCATTCGTCAAATCAGCTCACCCCCGTCCCCTAATAAAAGTGAAATGTTGTGAGCGCCGAGCTCGTAAATATGATTTGTATGACTAATTTCTGAGTTTTAAAATTAAGATTGCCTGTTGGTTGTCGATTAGAATTTCAAGGATTTATTTTTTGTTCTCAGGTATTGTGCCAGATTACCTCAGAGGACTCAGCGATCTCCACGCACCTCCCTCAACGATGGGGAGTTCAGAATTCCCTTACTCTCTAGATGGTAAGTGCTCTTTTTAGCAAGTAATTACTTATAATATTTATTATAATAGTTAAACTTTAAAGAGACTTATATTTTCAAAATTTTTTTTATTATAATCTTTAAATGCTTTTTTAACTTTATAATTAAATATTAAGTTAATTAACAATAGAAGTATATTATTATTATTATTTTTCAATTTCATGTACGCAGATTTCTAAGACTGCTAATTAAAATAAGAAAAATAAAATAAATTATACAGTTGTGTTCAGTTTAAGAACTTATATAATCATGAAATGAAATGATGGCAGATACATAAGTAATTATAATGAGACTGTCTGGTGTTTGGAGATGTTATATATTTATGTGATTAATCAATTTAAACTGTGAGTGAAGAAAGGCAATTATTTGCAAAGTATGATGTGAGAAATAATGTGTTAAATAATTTTAATTAATCTGTTTTTATTGTTTTTATTTATTTGTCCAATTTTTATATATCACATTGTTTACATTCAATTTTTGAAAACATAAACACAATTTTGTTTCAGAAAAAGATATTGTTGGAATTTTGAATTTTGCTAAAACTTCCGAGATCAAGTCTCCAGTTATATGATTTTCACGTTGCTCTTACATAGTTTGAATAAAAATACCCAATATTTTATTATTCCATCAATAATTTTTAATTTTTAGTGTATCCAAGTAATTTAATCTTTATTAAATGAAGAATTGAGACTAATTTTCCCAATTTTCCCACTTTCTTTTAGCTGGATCTCGTCTGACAAGTCCCCGTCCGCGTCAGAGTCGCAAGCGGGCGCTCTCCTCGTCGCCATACTCGGACTCGTTCGACATCAACTCGATGATACGCTTCTCGCCCAACTCGCTGGTCTCCCTGGTGAACGGCAGCCGCAGCTCTTCGGCTAGCGGCTCGTACGGCCACTTGTCGGCGGGGGCGTTGAGTCCCGCCCTGGGGGCTATGCACCCCCACGGCGTCGTCTCGCCGCACCACCTCCAGTCCCTGCACGCGCACATTCTGCGCGGCTCGCCCTTCCTCGGGCCCTTCACCCCGCAACACCCGTCCCTGTTTTCACTCTCGCCCACCCAGTTGATGCCCAAGAGCGAGTTGGCACCACCGACCTCCTGCGCTGGACCCGCGCCATCCTCCAAACCACACAAATCTTGTGCCCACCAAACGTGTGCCAGATCTCGAGTCAGAGGATGTTTGCAGGTAAAAAATTATTATATTTAAATTTCTAAATCATTTTTTTTTATCTAATAAATTTGAAAACTCGGATTCTAGCAAATTAATTTTTATTTTTTAAAACCTAAATTCCCCAGTTTAGTTCCATTACAAGTAGAATTAATTTTTTTAAATATAAAATTTATAGAAATGAATATGAATGGATATCTTTTAACTCCATCCTTCTGTATACAAATTATTTGCACTTTGTTATTTAAAATTGTAATTCATCTCATTTTTAGTAAAACCATAAAAATTGACCATTAAAAAAAACAACATAATAAATAATTTGAAGTTTTTAAAAAAGCAATTGTATAAATAAAATGGCAAAATCTTATTCATTTTCAGGAGGCAGCAAAGGAAGTTTCGAGCACCGGCGAGCCAGACAAAGTTAAGGTCAAGGTTAAACGGGAGGCAGTGTCCTCAAGTTCACCCTCCCAGTTGCACGGTGGTCCAGGATCGGCCGGTTCGGACAAAATGGACGCGGCCGGCGACGAGCCAGGAGATTTCATTGAGACCAACTGCCACTGGCGGGAGTGCGGGCTCGAGTTCGGAACTCAGGATGAGCTTGTCAAGGTAAGCGATTTGAAAAATTTATGAAATAAAAAAATTGTATTCTGACCGATTTGCACCTGTCTGATTGCAGCACATCAACAACGACCACATCCACGCCAACAAGAAGAGTTTCGTCTGCCGATGGAGTTCTTGTTCGCGAGAGGAGAAACCCTTCAAGGCGCAGTACATGTTGGTGGTCCATATGCGCAGGCACACTGGTGAAAAGCCGCACAAATGCACAGTAAGTAAAAATTTAAAATAATAAAAAATTTTATATATTGTATTTTTAAAAAGTAGAATTTATTTTTAATTTCAAAATTATTAATTTTTTACAGTTTGAGGGCTGCTACAAAGCGTATTCCAGGCTAGAGAATCTCAAGACTCACCTCAGGTCGCACACAGGCGAAAAACCATACATGTGTGAATACCCTGGCTGCACCAAGGCCTTCAGCAACGCCTCCGATCGCGCCAAACACCAGAACAGAACGCACTCCAACGAGGTAGGCTTGCCTTTCTTGACTTTTCGGTTAAATTAAATGCAAATTCTTGTGCCGTCTTTTGCGTATTTTATCTCTCGTGAAGGATGAAGGGTAAGTCTTTTTCAAACAGTTTAGCCGTCTCACGCGATTGTTCTGCAGATAAATGCATACAGGCGCTTAAATTTTATTCTAAGCCGGCCGGCAATTGAATTATTACGTCCATAATCAAGATTGCACGCTGAATTTGATACGCACCTGTAAATCTCGCTTGCATTCGCGCCAAATGAAAGAAGTGCAGCTCACACTGGTGCAATAAATTTGCAATTGGATACGTTTCTGTTAAAGACCCGCGTTTATCTTTGGATGATGCACTTGCGCACGCAATTTATTTTATTATTGCACGACTGCCTTAATGAATTGCTTTATTATTTAAATATGTTTATCATAAATATCATAAATAAAAGTGGTTGAATCTTCTTTATGTAAATAGTTCGTAAAATTTATTTGTGAATAATAATTTTATCAACTTTTATTATACCAAATTTTGTTATTTATAGAAACCGTACGTCTGCAAAGCTCCTGGTTGCACCAAGAGATACACCGATCCGAGCTCACTGCGAAAACACGTCAAGACGGTCCACGGCGCCGACTTTTATGCCAACAAGAAGCACAAGGGTCACGACGACCATGGTGGAGCTGAAGATGGGCCTGGTGGCGGCCACCACGGCATGCGTGCCGCCCTGGACGACAAGACGGAGGCTGCCTCCATGTCCAGTCCGAGTCTCAAGTCAGAAGAGCCGAGCTCGCCTTCTGCGCCCGAGGGCAGCAGTCCAGGCGGCCAGGGACTTGACGGCGCCCCTATGGAAGAGTCCTCGACGACGGCCGCCCTTGAGGAGGCTGTTGAATGGGATCTCGGCGAACAGGAAGAGATTGAGGTGAGTGTGATTTAAAATCTGATAGCTTATCATCCAAAATTTCATTGAACGACAAGAATTTAAATTTAATTTTTTTAATTAAAAAATTTTTACTATTCATTTTAAAATATCCTTTTGTAGTTTACATTATTTTTATTTAAGTTTTATTGAAAACGTTATAATTTTATTTCCAAGTTTAAAAAGATTTACAGGTATAAAATTGTAAAAAAAAAAAAATATATATATAACATTTTTTTTTTATCTTTTGCAGTTGCCAAACCTTCCAATGCCAATCAGGGCAGCAGTCAACGCTGTTGGAGGTCTCGACTCAAGCCCTGCCATGCCAGACAGGAGGTTCAAACAGGCCCCCAGACTTGGCATCAAGCACGTCGGACCTTCCATTCCCACCTCCTATGGAAACGCACCCTCGCGTCAGGGTCCTGGTGTGGGCGAGCTGAGTCGTCGCATCACAGACCTCAAGATGGAAGGCCACTCACCTCCGAAGAGCTCCCCGATCTCAAGGGGTCCCGCCCGCCACCTGACCGACCTTCAGGTGCGTTTGGCGCCCCCAGGACCTCGCAGAGACTCGAGCTCGACCACAGTCAGCTCGTACTATGGCTCGATGGCCTCGTCTCAGTTCTCACGCAGAAGCAGCCAAGCATCTCAGGTAAGGAATCAACCCTTTGAGGTTTTATTTTGTTCAGAAGCCATCTTTGGCCAGGGCTAACTGTTCTAAAGATGTTGTTGCGTCCGCAGGTGTCAACGAGGATGACCTCGGTGCGTCCAGCGCCCTCGTCCTTCTACGACCCCATCTCTCCAGGCAGCTCTCGCCGCTCAAGTGAGATGAGTGCCATGGACCCCCGCAGTCCTGCCGCCAGCGCCAACCTGGTCGTGCAGACGCAAACCATGTCCCTTTCGCAGTGGCAGCTCCAGCAGCAACCGGCCAGGCCTTCGTCTGCTTGCCACGTGCCTTCCAGTCTGCTGCAGCCCAATGGAGAGGCGCGCAGGATGTCCGAGCCGGCGCAGTCTGCCACTACGAGACTCCTTTTGCCTCCTTTGGCGAGAAACAGCATCAGTGGTGCGCCTGGTGGACCTGGAGGGTTCCACCCCAATCAAGCTGTGGTGCTCGATGAAGTTGAGGAAGGAGAGATGGTTGAAAACAAGCTTGTTCTTCCCGACGAAATGCTGCATTTCCTCAGCCAGGTAATATTTCTTCTTATTTTTCAATTAATGTTATTAAAATAAATTTGCTCAATTTTTTTTTGTTAAAATGCATTTTAATACTTTATGAAAATAAAGTATCAATTTTTATTTTTATTTAAAAATAAATAAATTAATATTCAAATTTAATTAATTAATTAAGTAAATTTAAAACACTAAATTTATTTCTTCTAAAAAAAATATAATTATGTATACATTTAAAATAAGTTATAAAATAATAACTTAACCTACAAATTTTATTCAAACATTGAAATCTTAATTCCAGGTTGCTGGTTCTGAGAGTCTACCAGAAGAAGCAGCCCCACCTGCAACCCCTGCTCAACCACAACCCCCCATTCCTCAGCAACAGCCGCAGACCCCTCAACAAATTCAAAACGTTGCTTCTCCAGCTGCTCCACATCCTCAGCAGGTCATGTCTCCAGGGGTGGCGTCAATGGGCTCGCCTCAAGTAGTGCCTTCCCACATGCACCCCCTCTCACCCCATGCCGCTCAGGTGTCCATGCCCTACAGCCCTGGGAGAGCTACCTCCTGCCAAAATCAGCCGATGACGCCTAATTATGCTCAACCCATGGCCAGCCCTGCTGCAGCGACCCCCGCGCCTCCCTACCCTCATCAACAGCAACACTACCCCCAGCAGGCGCCACCTCCCCCACCCCCGCAGTACCAATCTCCTCAATACCCTCAGCAGAACAGGTGCTATCCCCAGCAACAGCAAGTCCCGCCGACAGTGCCTCAAGTTTGCAATAGCCACCCCTATCCGCAGCAGCAGCCCCCACAGCCAGCTGCCTACAACCCCTACCCGCAAGGGCAAAACTGCTACCCCCAGCAGTACGGCTGTGGTCACCCTCCTTACCCCCAGCAGCCGCAACAACAGCAGCAGTGCTGCAACCACTCACAAGACTGGAGCCAACAGCAGCAGTACTACCCCCATCCGCAACAACCCCAGCAGTGGCCCCAACAGCCACCCCCTGTGCAGCAACAACAGTACCAGTGCCACCCCCAGCCAATGTCCTACTCCCCAGCGCCGAGTGCCTGCACCTCGCATGGAGGCACCACCTACTGCTCCAGTAACAACACCCTGACCAACTACCCCCAGCAACCACCGTGCCATCCTCCCCCGGTGCAGCAGCAGCAGCAGCAGTACCCCCAGCATCCACAGCAACAGGTTCCGCCTCCTCAGACCCAAAACACCAACGGTCCACCCCAGGAGATCCAGTGTCGAGACATCAGCCAGTCAGTGCAGAAGGGTCAGGGTCCTCCTCCGATGAGGCAGGACACCTACCAACGCACCCTCGAGTATGTCCAGCAGTGCCGCTCTTGGGCTGCAGAGAAACCTGCTGCCGCCTCCAACCCCCTCTCGCCCGACAGCAGCACCGAACCCCCTGCGCCGCCGCCTCCACCCAAGGTCGAGCAGCCGCCTCCAACTCCCGCCCCTGGAATCATGGAAACGTCCAACATGGTGGTCAACGACATGACTTCGTCTTTGTCGTCCTTGCTCGAGGAAAATCGCTACTTGCAGCTCATTCAGTAGTTTAAATGCCCCTGTTGTAAATACACAGACTGTGCCTAAGTTATAAATTATTATTTACTTGTATGTACACTGTTACCTCTGGCTGAGAGATGAACAAAATATTTTACTGATTGACCTCAGGATCTCGTACAACCTGTTACTGTGCCAACAGAGAGACACGACACGAGCAGCATTTTTTTCTTAAGTGAGATTCGACTTTTGCACACCATTTCGGTTGAGTTGTGTAATTATTAATTGAATGTGTACTCGAAGATTGTGTCTTTTGTAAAGATTTTCTAGCTACAGCGACTAAAATTTATATTGTAAGAAATCGAAATAAAATTTTAATACTCAGATTCTTATTAAAAATATCCCTGGATTCTTTTATTTTGTCAAAAATAACAATAACAAAAATATAAATTTAAAAAAACATACAAGAACACATTGATACAGCCTAAATTTCAATTGGCTTGACTGGTGATCCCACGAAAATCTTCTTATTTCTCTCAATACTCACTTGAGAAAAGTAAATTCCGAATTGCATTTTTCCTTGGCCAGAAGTAGCAATGGTCCTCAAAGGCTCCACCGTCTTTTCTCCACTGCTCTGATCTATGCACACCATTTGGCACCTTGTGCATGGCCCGTCACTCTAAAAGATAATAATTTCTTACATTTCTAAAATTAATGTGCTAGTTAAAAATACTTTAAGAACAACACTGCCTATTTTGATTGCCTTCCACTGCTTTTCTTCAAATGAGGACAAGCCAGTCACAATCATGTTGCTCCTAAATCTTTGAAGCAGATTCTCCTGAAATGAAATTTAATGTAACACAAGATTCTTCTCTTAAATTATTTAAATATTTTAATTCACCCCAGAACATTGTAGATCATCTCCTTCAGCAGCAAGTTTTTCTTCCACCTGCTTTTCAAGCCAGGCAAGGCTAGAGAGACCCATGAGAAGAAACTGGGACTGGTTTGACAACGACAGGCTTGCAGCGCCTGAATGAAAACAACTTTATGTTAACCGTGAAATGCAATTCAAGGCAAAGTTCCACCTTGTTTCTGCATTCGCTGATCATCAGACCACTGCTGCTGTAGTCGCAGGCCAGAAATTTCAAGAGCAAGACTTAGCCATTCTGCAATTTCATCACCACAGTCAAGTGTTTGCACTACCACTCCACAAACTTTGCTTGATCCGTCAGTCGAGTCTCCTTTCAAAAATTTAACCTTCACATCAGGCACGCCTGAAATTAAAATTTATTAATTGACCATAATTAAAGATTTCTGTATTTAGTACCAGGGAAGGAAAGTTTTAAGTCGTTTTGCTCCAGGTTGAGCTGGGGCTTGATGAGACACATTTGTGTGCAGGTCTTTTGTGTCAGCGGTGTTGAAGTGTCAGTGACGATCATCCAGCAGCGGTCACCAACCAGGCCTTTGTGGTCTAAAGGCCACGACTGAACCTCTTGAGCGCCGCAAGACTTCACAGGATACAAACACAGTCGGCTCAGCCTTGGTTCCTTTGAGGCACCAATGTCAAGGTCTTTCAGCGGCCGCTCGAGGTTGGCTTTCCTCTCCGCAGTTTCAAGGAAACACTTTTTAAGAAGACTAATCAGTTTGTCAACATCCTCTTTTGTACTGCAGTATCCAAGTGAGGCACGAACTGACCCCGTTGGACGCCCTCCAAGCAAATCAATCGAATCTCCGCAAACATGGCCAGCCTTAAGTTTACTAAAATTTATCTTTATATTCAAAGATTTGGTTTCAAAATTTACCTCAAATTGTTGTTCCAGTTCCTCCATGTTCAAGTCCAAAAATCGCTGGCAAGCTCCTGGGTTGCAAAAGCAGCCCGTTCGAACGTGAACGTCAAACAAATTGCACATATGCAAGACCTTAAAAATATAAATGAAATAAACATTATATAGAAATTGGATTTTATTTTGCAATCACCTCCGAATACCCAATGAAAGTGTCATCTGCCCTCCTTAGATTAAAATTAACAATAGGTCCCTGTTTCATCATGCTCTCAAAATTATTGTCTTGATATATCACAGCAAGAGGTTTGTTGTTGAAATGCTTCAAATCACGCAAACAAGTAAATAAATAGTGGGCCAATTGGAAGGTGTGTTCCTCAATAATGTGTATCCCTTCTACAAATAAAGTTCATTGTTATTTATCCTATGGAGATAAAATTTTATGTATTTACTGGGTACGAGCTGCTCGAAATACTTCATGGCCTGTCGCAATTGAGCAATCTCTAGGAAATTGACGGTTCCATCTTCAAAACTCTCATGCAATGTTGGTCGTGGCATGTGCCAAAGTTTTCCAGAGGCAAAAGCCATCAGGACAGTCCCACCGCCAAAGTATTGCTTTTTCAGTTTTTTCTCCTTGCCAACTCTGACAAGAAGAGCTCCGAGTCCAGTCGGAAGTCCGAACATTTTGTAGAAGGAGATGCAGACAAAGTCGGGGCTGACGGAGGACAAGTCAAGTGGGCTCGTGGCTACATATGATGCGGCATCCAAAAGGACAGACCAGTCTCCTCTGTTGTGAATGTTTTCGATCCAGTCTAGTGGGTATTTTGCTCCGGAAAAGTTGCACTGAGCTGGGTAAGCGAACAGACCTCCTTTTGCACCAATTTCAGAGTTTTCGTTGAAAATTGAATTCATCTAATGAACAGATTATAAAAATCAAATCTCTTTCATTGAATGTTTGAAGTAATTAAATTTATTTTAAAGAAAATAAAAATATTAAATAAATTTTTTGCAGTTAAAAGCAAAAAATCAGATTATTTTAAATTAAGATTAATTGTCATATATAGTACCAACTATTATTAATATATAAAGCAGTTTCAAACCTCTGATTTAGTTAAAGGGATGATTTTGGCCCCTTTTTCAGCAGCCACTTCTCTGATGCCAATGACAGACGTATGATTTTCAGCAAAATAAGCATAAGCTTGATTTTCCTCCCAAGTAAAACAGTAAGCCAGAGTTTTCAGGCTCTCGGTGGCACCTGACGTGAATATCAGGTGGTACTTTTTAGAGCTGGTATTGAAGTAGGATAGAACCTTTTCCCTGGTCTGCTCAACAACGTCACTACTTAGTTTGCTGCTTGAATTCAGAGCGTGAGGGTTGCCGTAAAGGTTCCACTGCAGGTCGGTGCTGATTGCTTTGATCAACCCTTCAGGGTACAATGTGGCCCCTGTGTGATCAAGGTACGCGACTCCTAGAGATCAAAAATGAGTTTTATATTTTCCTACAATGAACAAGAAATTTTTTTTATAAACTTTTGAATTTTAAAATATTATTTGTTTAATTTAAAAATAAATTAATTTTCAACCTTTGAGCCTGTCGAATTCCTTGCTGAGTTTTTCCTTCGTACCCGTGTCATAAACTTCCTGATAATCCATGGTCAATTCAAGCCAGACGATCACCAACTCACAAATTCAGAGGTTTGTAACAATTTGGTGGTGTGAATCTCTGCTGCTCTGCTTTTATGCCTCTGGAAAATTGTACAAATATTCGTCAGCAATTTGTTTAAGTGCAGACGATTCAATAAATAACAATCCACGCATCATCAGATTATCCAAAGTACAGAGATAAAAAATAACACAAACCGGCAAGATCATACAACTATTTGTGTCCAGCAGGTCACATGACACAACAGAGAGGAAAGCAGTGTGTCAACAAACACCGACGCCGCTCCAAACGGAATACGGATTAATGCATCTGAAGTGGTTAATTTTCCAGGCAGGAAGCATTAAATTCTCCTGACGAGTGAAATTTCATGCTATTTAGTGCTAAAAAATAAAAATAATAAAGAAATAATTGAACGAAAGTTGCAAGTGAAAAATTCAGGTTTATTTACATATTTGAAACGTGGCGCCCAAAAAACAAGTTTAAAAACCGTCTAGAATGAACGAAATATAAATTAATTGAATGAATATCATGAAAAAAAAAGAAATATTTAAAATATTAGGTTCAAATACTTAAATTTGCAAGATTTTTGACTTTAATAATTTTATTTTTTCTTTAAAGTAGTATTACATTAATTATTGTTTTATTGTTAGATTGGTACGAATCGCAGCTGATCGAGCTCTACCTAGAGCGAAACAGAAACAAAAAAGTCCGGGCCCAGTCGGGACGGAGTGCGTTTTGGCTCGATTTTCCGACCACCCCACCAGCCTCTTCCAGACTTTTCCTCTTGGTCCCTGTCCGCACCTGCCTTCCACACCCTCAGGTATGTTTTTGTCGATTTGTCGACCGCTTCGGCCGCCTCTTCCCTCTCCCGGGTCCCCTCCCGCCTGCGATTCTTTCGTATTAGTCCTTTTTCGGCTTCCTCGCCGAATCTCTCCGCACCGGGCCCATCGTGGCCTCAAAAGCCGCGCCAGGCCCTTCAAAACCTTCCGAAAGCCTCTGACCAGTCGACCTGAACCTTAAATGTTACCTCTGAACCTGACCAATGCTGATTGTGCGCCTGAGAAAATTGATTACTTTTCTCGTTATTAGTATGGCTGTACGCGCTGAGTAGATGCTGCCTCCGGCTCCCGAACCATATCCTCTTGCCGCCTCCAATTCGCACACTTCAAATTTTTTTTTTTTCATAAAATCTGCATTTATTTATACTTTATAGTTTTTTGTTCCTAATTACATCATAAATAATTAATCTGAATTTTTTCATAAACTTTTTTTTTTATTTTTTCACATTATTTTAAAAAAAATTTAAACTGATATAAATATTAAAACGGGCATTACTCAATTAAAGTAAAGATTGAATCAATTTTACACTTTTAAATCCAAACCATCTTTCAATCCATCCTAAATCCAAAAATCCTTTCAAAATTCAATAATGAAAACTAAAAAACCCAAAACTTCTAATAAACCATTTGGAACTGAATAAAATCTGGCTGTAAAACAAGTTGAATTATTTCAAAACCCTAATTATAATTTTTTTCCTACGTTATTTTTTAGTTTGGATTGAGGGCTAGAAGGATTATAAACCGATATTCACTGGAGACAGCAGGAAATTTAGAAATCGGCTCTGCATACGAAATTATAAATAATTAAATATTTGATAAAAAAAAATTTAGCTCGCATCAGCATGCACTTAAAAAGTTAATCATTTGAAGTGGGTACATGAATTGTGCATTGCAAAGTGTTAGACTTTTTTTAGATTAGATTATGTAAATGGAATTTAAACAAATAATTTTTGATGTACAATTTTTTTTTAACTCTATAGAATTTAGAATTTTTTTAATTGATTTTTCCTAGAATTATCTTGTCATTCTAAAAGGAAGTCAATGAACTACAAAATGGATTTTCTTGCCCGCTGTTCGGCCCCTTTTCAGGTTCGATCTGCCCTTTGTCACTGCCCGTTGGTGTGAATAATGAGTCCATGATTTGATTAGGGTTATCTGCGAGTCGCACAACGTGCCGTGCACAAAGAGTTGCCCACATCCTGCCTCGAAAGCTAGCCCGAGAGATGAATATTATATTTTCCCACCGAGCGCGCAGCTGCCTTGCTTTCTGATAGAAACAAAACTGGATCGCTCTCTTTCTTTCTCTCGCTTGCTCATTCCGCTTGGGCTTGTTATATATTTTCTTCTCTTTTTACACTCGCACGACGTCACACCTCGAACGAGCGCTTTTGCCACGATTTACCGTGATTCTGTTTATGTAGCGCTTCTTCAATCGCATCTTGCCGGTGATGGAGATGAAATGATCTGAACAAAGCTCGCTTGAAAATGGCTCGATGAGCTCTCACGAAGTGTAATAATTATTATATGTACTGAAAAAAGCTTTTTAGATAATAATTGTTTGCTTTGTATAATTTTTTATATAAAATTGATTTGTATGAATATTTTTTTAATATCATTTTTGCAATTTATTGCAAATAATTGATTTTAAACATAATTTTGCTATTCATCTCCACTATTTGAACTTATTCACCTGGTTTATCTATGGCACTTGTAAGCTTTAATTTCAATTACTTAGCAAGAGACGGGAATATTAAATTATATAAAAAAAAAAAATGCTGCAAGTGCATTCAGTTTCCAGTAAATTGCTAGGTACATTAGAAAAAATTTAATTTAAAAGCAGTGCCCAGAAATTATTCCATGTGATAAATTTATTTAAATTAATTTTTTTTGTACTTCACATAAAAGAATAAGTCTTTTTTTCAGTTTCTTTTGAAATTTAAGTATGAATTATAAATCAACAATCTGGTTAAGGAGGATTTGGAAATTAAAAAAAATATGTAGTTATTTACCTCAAAAAGTTTTTGTGTTTCTCTAACTGAGTCACAAATGTGACGAATTTATGTTTTCAGCTGCAGAAAAAAAACTTTAGTTGAAGAAAGTGGCACTCAATGGAGGGACGAAAAATTATGATAATTTACGATAATTTAAAAAAATGGTGAACTGGGGCATTCTTTTTTCAGAAAGTTATTTTATTAAAATAACAGCAATTTTTTTCATTGACAAGAAGCACTATTCATTATTTATCGTACATAAATTGTAATAAATTTTTCTTTTTATATTTTTATTTTTAAACATTAAATTTGATTTTGATTTTTTTTTCTAAAGCGGCATTGCTAAAGAAATATTCAAAAAAGGCGAAAGTCTAAAAAGGAATAATTTGTAAAAACCGAAAAATTTGTGATTTTAATTGCAGTGCTTCAGTTAATGGGCTGAAAATATATCATTTTTAAAATATGTATTTAGTAAAATATATAATTTTTGGTTGGTTATAATTGCTTAGTCCAAGAAATCATAAGAAGAGGGATATGACAATAATCAAATTAAAGTGAATGCTTCTTTCGGCTACTTTCATTTATACTGCCTCAATTTTATTGTTTTTCTTGTAATAAACAAAAATCCAAAGCTTCAGATTCAGATAACAGTATTTTTTGTTTCATATCTTGTAAAAATTCTCATAGTAAAGAAATTCCATAAAAATTCACTATTACTTCTGAAAGCAATGAAAAATATATATGAATGAATATAAATTTATTTCAAATAATTCGGTCTCAAAAAGTAAATTGTTGAAAACCATTTGAAGAATAATAATTATATGTTATATTAATACGATGAAAAACCTTTCAATAAAAAAATAAAAAAAAGTAGCAAGATTTTGTATTTAAAAAATGGAAGCATTTGATCACCAAAGCAGCAAATTCGTTGGAGACCCAAAAAATCAGTATAACCGGATTGCAAATGAACGCGCGGCAATCAGTTTTATTTCCATCTTTTCGCTTTCACATATGCGAGCGACGCGCGTGCCAACTTTTCCTCTGTCGGTGCGTGGAGCGTGGCTAATGTTTAAAGCAAGCAGAAAAACGGGTTCGACGCCGCGTTATTTAAAATGCAGCGAGGTGTCGCCGTTTTCAGCGGGGGCAGGTATGGGTGGAGGTGGGAAAGCGATATTGTTTTGTGCCTTTGCGAGCGAGCATCACTTTCCGGGCAGGTGGGTCGGCAAAAACACGGGCGCAGGGGCGGATTACGCGCTGCTTGGCGCGCATTTCCATGACAAAGTCAAAGGGCCCGCAAATAATGACAAAGCCAAACTGCGAGTCTAATCGCGCTCGATCAGGCGTTATCGCTTTCCAGCTCGGACGGACACACGTTCCGGAACCTGACCAGTGCAGAGAGGTCGTTAGAAATTCTGGCCGCGCGCAAAGTTTGCGCCGCACGCCCGCCAATGGAAACGAGCCGCCGTTTGTTTCTGCTGCTGCAAATTGAATGGAGCTCGCTTTGAAACAAACCGATTGTGAGTGAAGTGAACAAGCGAGGGTCGCCATTTCGCACCCAGAGACTCATATTTTACTGCCGTTTTGGGCGAAACAAATGGAAGTGACGGAATTTCGGCACCCTCCGCAATTGTGTTCAATCTTGTGAAAATAGTGAAAATGGAAAGTGATAATTGAAACGGCACAAAGTTGAAATTGATTTCAAAGTAATTAAAACCCCAATCACATAAAATTGAACATTTAAATACACCTCGATTGTTAGCTTTCGAATGTAAAAGGTATAAAGCAAATAAGTAAAAAAAAGCCTTATAAAGTCTGCTTTTTTTAAATTTATCTGATGTCAACAATGGTTTAGAATTTATCAGATAAGTGTCAGTTTGATTAATTTATTTTAAATGATTTTTTTTAATATCAATTGCAATATTTTTGTTAAAAAAAAAACATCTATCAGATATTTAACCAAATTAAAATATTCCCTTTGCAACGAAATAATTGAAAAAAAACCATTCAAATTGAAGTAACAATAGTTAGAAAAAAATTATCTGGAAATCCAATGATTTAAGTCAAAATTGAAATTTGAAGTTAAGTTAAGATTTATCTGTGCTAAGTGACCAAAGGCACCTTTCTGCACGTGTCCTGAGCAGGATTGGTCGCTACGGAAGACAGAGGGGTTGAGGGTGGGGGTGCAGCCGAGAGAGAGTATTATTGATCTGGCCATGTGCAGCTCTCCTCCAGCCAGCGGCCGGGTCGCCCAACTCGAGAGTGCACCCACCTGTGCTCTCGCTCTCGCGAATCAGAAATCTTAATTGCACATTCGGTTGGAGACTGGGAAAGTTTTGCCAAAAGTGGGCCGCTCGTGCTGCCCTAAAGTAAAAACAGCCGGGACACTATCTTTGTGTTAAGGAAAATTTACCTCCAAAACTGCCAGTTTTGTAAGCGTTTTAGCAGCCCCGACAGAAGTAACAAACGCCGGTAGTTGGGAGAATGCCGCGGGCAATACTATTTGCTGATTTTTTCAACAATTAATTTCTAAATTATATTTATTATGAAAATTGAAGACTGCTATGCTTAAAATAAAAGATATTAATTTCGTGCACACATTATATTTTTCATTAATTGATATTTTTATTTCATTATTAATATTCCTCCATTTATGAATTTTTAGGTTTATTATTAATATTATTTAACAAATTAGCTATTTTCAAATTTCGCATACACAATGAAAAAGCAGCATTTATAATAAGTCTAAAAATTGAAGAAAGGAAATATTTAATAAAGAAAATAATTTAATATAAATACCGTTCCATAAATGAATAATATAAATTGTGTGTAAACAAAATAATATATTGTATTTTGTCAGTCTGATTTTCTAAATAAACTTATTTTGAAATAAATTATTGAAAACAATTAAAATTCATGCATAAAATGAAAAGTTAATAAAAATTATATATTTTTATACAACAGCAGACCAATGTTTCCCTATTACAACGGAA